TACTAGAATATCCTTGGGCAAATACTTCTCTGGGTGTGTTTTTTAATGTATGAGGCTATTGTGAGAATTAAATAGATTAAGTAAATATAAAACACTGGGAATAGTTTTTTTAACGTATATTAAATGCTAGCTGTTATTATCTGTCTCTTCCCTCACTGTCACATGTGGCCTGTCACTAAGCAAGGATCTTCTTGTCCATGGAAAAGACTCCAGAGATACCAGAAGCTGTGCCCAGAGCCTCCTACCAGCAGCAGTTACTTGCCAAAACTACTTGGCAGCGACCCCTTATGCATCAACTTTCCCACACAATATACAGTGAGATTTGTGGGAAAAAAATGTTCCCAATTTCCCTTCCTGACCTTTGAAGACCAGGAATAATCACTTAATTGACCTCCATTCTGTTTTTATGTGACCCATCCTTCTCCAAAGCAGAAGGGGAAACTGTAATGTAATAGAAGATCTTCTAAATTAAGTCAAGAATAAAGCCACGCATTCACATACCATTTACTTTGGTTTAAGCTCTCAGGGACTTTTCAAAGCTTAAAAGTCATGAATGAAAGTAACACTTTTAACTTGAAAGACATCAAAGGCCTTTTTTGAATTGTTAAGATTTTAGAGAATTCCTAATTATTTGTAATTTGGCTTTAATGAATAAAACATTTGTACATAGCTATCTATTATTATTATTATTATTATTATTATTATTATTATTATTATTATTATTAAAGGATCCAGTTGGCTCTGTTATACAGAAAAAGAAACACTCTGTTAAATAGAAGAAAAAGGCGTAGCTCTTATAGTCTGAATAAGGGTATTACAACACCCTCTTTTGGTACCTAAGAATATAGGTTATACAAAACCAAAACAAACAAAAAACACTAGCCAGGGATTAGAACACTTTCTATTTTAATTTCATTTCTAAACTGTCTCTCAGAGAGATATGAATTACAGTGGATGGGGTAGAGAGAGAAGATGGGAGGGGAGGGAGGGGGGATGGTAGAGGATAGGAAAGGTAGCAGAATACAACAGTTACTAATAGGGCATTATGTAAAAATGTGGATGTGTAACCGATGTGATTCTGCAATCTGTATTTGGGGTAAAATTGGGAGTTCATAACCAACTTGAATCTAATGTATGAAATATGATATGTCAAGAGCTTTATAATGTTTTGAACAACCAATAAAAAAAAATAAAAATAATAAATAAAAATTAAAAAAATAAAATAAAATAAAATAAACTGTCTCTCAGAAAGATGTGTTTGAAAATACTGCAGTTTGGGGGTTATTGTTTTGTTTTTGCAATAATCTTGACCAACCCCTGTAGCAGAGTTAGTAAAACACACAAGCTGGAAACCTCAGGCAAACTTGACTTAAATTGGACTTTTGTGGGTAAGAGATGTGGTGAGGGCACCCCCTAGTGTCAACTCAGGAATTCTCACACATTAGCGGTGAAGACTAACCAAGAGCAAAATAATTTACCCAAAGGTACATAGTCAATTTAGGTCAAATTTAAGTCAAAATCCTAGAACCAAATATACATATATCGACAGTTCAATGCTTTTTTGTCTATTGTTCTCTACAATATAAGGACATCAAAGAAAGGAAAGATTTAAAAATCAAATTCCTTCCACTATTGGAAATCCAATTTTGGAATTTAGGTGAAATTTTATTATAAAACAGGATTATTTGAATGCCTAATATTTCTAAAGCACTGTGAGAGGTTTCACAGAGCTGCCAAATTTAGTTCCCTAGACTCTCAAGTGCAGAAAGACTTTTGTTTCTTAATGTCTTGCTGAGGCCACAGTAGTCTACCCCACCCCCACCCCCTGGTCCCAGCTGGCACTTCAGAGGCTTCTCTGCCCCCTCAATTTTGAAAAATAGTATTTCTCCCTAAAGTATAACAACAGAGAGTCAATGAGATTATCTTATTTGCCTATTAGGTCCCTCTTTAAAAATATTCGGAGTTAATTCATAACGATACTTTTGTGGTTCCCTCTCCTGTAATTTGGATCTTGAATGTCCTCCAAAGGTCAACTACTGGGAAGAGATGGAACCATTAGCAGGTGGGGCCTAGTAGAGGGAAGCTAGGTCATTGGGGTCATGCCCTTTAACGAGGTAGTTGAACTCCAGCCCCTTCCTCTTTTTGCTTCCCAGCTGTCATGAGGTTCACTCTCCCATGTGCTCCACCGTGATGTACTGTCAATTCACAGGCCCAAAGCAACAGGGCTAAGTGCCCATGGACTAAAATCTCTGTGAGCCCAAATAAACTTTTCCTCATTTCAAGTTTATTTTCTCAAGTATTTTTTCTCAGTAATGGAAAGCTGATGAACACACTCTCAAAATGTCACTGTGCTCTTTTCATGGTCCTGGGCAGCTCCAGACCACAGGTGGAAGGAATCAAGTTTGAATTTGACTACAGTACTTATCTTTATTTCCATCCAGACTTTTTCCCCTTACCTTTTCCAAGTGCTGCCTCACTTCAAAAAGAAGAGCCATGGCCTTCTCACAAACTTTCTATTCCTTCAGGATCCTAAAGGTTAATGGCAAATTAAATGATATGGTCTTTGCTGTCTAAATCCTACTCTGGAATATATGAAAAAGTGGAAGAAAAAATAAACCTGAATAAAATCACTTGTGCCAAGATATGAGTGCTTCTTGACAGCTAATGCCTTATACTTCCCATATACAGCTTTGCAATTTTCCTAGAAACTCTAACTGGAATTCCAACAAATTTAATAAAACTAAACTGAGTGAATTGGTGTTGACAGAGACTACCAGTTAGTGCAATAGAAGCAATGCACATCTTTGCTCTCAGCGCCCTGTCCTTGATCACCTTTGCTATTTTTTCTCTGTGAATTCTCAAGGGCATCCCCAGAATCCATTTTTTATATCAATAAAATGAAAAACATGAATGACTATTCTTTATTATTATTTTTATGAAACTTCAAAGGGATCTACTTGGCACTTAGTAATCAGTAATCACTCAAGATTGGCTAAAATAATTATTCCTGTTGATGGGTGCTTAATAAGAAAGCCATCTGAGGATTTTTTACAGCTAATAGCAATTCCTGTTTCAACCTTTGTTTGGGCCAATATTTCTGTCTTCTAACTGCAGATTTTTGATGTTCCAAGAGTTGTCATTAATAACTCAAAATATATATAGAGAGAATTCACTGATAATCAGCCCTACTTTTAGCCAAGGGCATGCTACTAATAGAAAGGAGAGTAAAGGAAGAGGAGAAAAATCTGTTTGGGCAACAATGTGGTGAACAATCAATAGATCTAAGTTAATCTTCTTAAAGTATCTGTGACCCTATGTTTTTTGGCAAATAATAATAGTTTTTGCTTTGTGTCAGGCATTAGCTTTGCAATTTGCCAGTACTCACTCATTTAATCCTTGTAATAATTCACTAGTTTTCACATTGAAGAAATGGAAGTACAGAGTAAAATAACTCAAAACAGAGTTATGAGAGCAAATGGCAAAGCTAATACTTTCAAGTTGCCAGGTTCCATAGACAGGACAACAGATTAGAAACTCCAGAAGCATCTTTCTCTTATTCTGTTTTCTCTATCTCTTTACACTATCTGTCCAAGAGGTTCAAACGACTTGAACTAGCAAAAGGAAAGTGAATACATTATCTCCATTTGCAAGTTAGACACCTACCTCTATAGACACTCACATTTAAGAGAGTTCAAACCTTTCCTGCCCAGAGTACAAAAACATCTCAGGATTCACAACACAAAATGGGTTTCTAGCATGTTCTTCTTTTTATTTCCTTGAACAGAGTTAAGTTTTCAGATAGTCTCTTTTTAGAGCTTTATTGTTCCTTTTTAGCCTTGTTATCTAACAGTATTAAGACTTTCTACCTATTAGGTAAAGTGGGTGTCTTGTACAAAGACAATGGCAAAAATGGGCACAGAGTCATTCTTTAATAAGCACCAAGGAGGTAGCTTTGTTGAAAGTAACTACTTGCTACAGCAAAGTACCCTAGTTTCTCCACAAATGGCTTGAATTTTTTAAATAATAAAACTATTGAGAAGTGAACCCAGTTTTACTTTAAAATACTACTGGCATATTATTCTGCTTAGTCTGGGCTCCTAAGGGTGGGGGTGGAATCCTTCTGTTGGCAAATATTCTGTCAATAACTCACACCTTGGAGATATGCATATACATATATATGTATATGCATATGATGGTGGTATAGCCAGTGTTTACTAAATAATTGTTTTACCAGTCATTATTCAATTGTTTTGCCATTTCATTTACTGCTTTCACCCACCACATAAAGTATGCACTAATTTTAATACCATTCCAGAGATACAACTGAGACTTAGAAAAATGATGTAAAATGCCCAAGATCACACAGCTAGTGTTTAGCAGAGCTAGAATTCAAACCCAGGTGATCAGATTCCAAAATCCACCGTTCTTCAGGTTTAACTCTAGAGTTTCTGAACCTCAGCACTATTAACACACTGGTAATTTTATGCTGTGGGACTGTCCTATAGGGTTATTGTATGCTTTGCTGCTTGGCAGCACACCTGGCCTTTGCCCACTAGGTGCCAGTAGCTCCCTCTCTCCCAGGCCTGCTAAGTCTCCAGACATTGCCAAATGTCCTAGAGCGGACATACTGCTCCCTACCCACATTGAAAGCCACCCTTCTTTTCTCATCTTTTTTCATACTGTAACTCAATCTCATGTCATCAACCTTCAGAAAAACAATTTTAAGGCTATAATACATTTTAATGAATATTAAATTAGCACTGCACCTAAAATATTATTTTTAAAAAATTTATATTGGAGAACTTAAAACAATCAAAATTATTTGAAATACATCCCTATGAAAAATATAACACTTAAGGGTAGGATTTGTCAATAAAATAATAAGCAGGAGGTGATTTATGCTGTAAAGACTATTAACTTCATCCTTCAGAATGCATCACCATATCCCATGTGGCATACTTCAGAACACAAAATGAAGGAGACTTATATTGGCAACAAAGTTCTTTAGTGAAAGAGTTTATTTTCTTAACATATACAGATTAAGTCCACAAATTATAATTGCATGCCTTGTATCTGAAAATGAAAATAAATTAATTTAAATCAACATTTTTAAAAACCAGAAGTCTATTATTTTCATAAAATACTTAATAAATCAAAACTTACTAATGCTTTGGTTTGTTTTTGATCCTTTTAAAATATGTGCTTAAATACATGTTAAAAGCATGTGTTTTGCTATCTCCACTTAGATTATTGATCAAATACTTAAGTGTTTACTGTTTTGTTAAGCTACTTTAGGAAAGATATCAAAAGTAAGATCTGCATTCCTGAGGAAATTTAGATATAATACATACACAAAAGCCCTAAGAATAATAAAAGACATTGTAAAGAGACTAGTAAAGGATTTAATATAACTCACATTAAAATAAAATATACACACATGTACATATATCATAGTTAAAGAAGAGAGTGAAATTCATTTAATAGGCGTGTTCCATATAAACAATTTGTCACAAATGTTACATTCTAAGGATTCACATGAAAAATCACAGTGTGCACAGAATAGACGCAAAATATCAGACAAAAACATCCTATAAATGCTTATATTGTTAAACTTTTACAATATTTTCAAAAATTTTTTTAAGGTGGGGAAAAATCTGGTACAATTTTGATTAAAAATAAACATACTCCATCTATGTGATTTTTTACTATTATTCCTTCTTATCCCCAAAATATAATTTCCTACAAAGTCTACAAAGTTTTAAAATAATAGTGTTTGGTTTGTACTTGTCAATAAACCTCTTCTCTATCCCCATAAAAATGGAATTTAATATATATCTGGCTAAATAAATCTGTGAGAGGACAGTGAATTTTGTTGGGTTTACAGACAATGATATGTATTTAAGTGCTCATACTTTCTTAACTTTCCCCTTGGATGCAATTTGTAAGTAACCTACCATTTAATAACCTACATTGGACATCATGGTTGCAATCCAGATGAATAGCGCCACAACAAAATTATCTAATGACACATGTCACCACAGTTACCACCAGATCAAACATCTCAGGAAAACATATTCACTAAGTCTTTCAACGTGCATAAATTCAGCACTCTTAGTTATCAGCCTTCATTTTTCTTCATTTGGGGGATTTTCCAATTGGTCTTTGGTTGTTTCTTCATCTTTCTTTTTTTCATCTGGAAAAAAAAGATAAATTTATATTTATATATGTAATATGATATATAATATAAAAGGTAATATATATATATATATATATATATATATATGAGTTGTTTTTTCCTTTACCTACCCTAATCATTTTATACTTGACGAGCACATATTTTGTCTTCAATCCAGACATGAAACTATATGAAGGAGCAGGTTTGGGGATCTACTTTCTCCTAATCAATTTTCTCTTCTAGTCTATAGTTGTTAAGTGTCAGAAAGTCAGAAAGTCTCTTAAGGTGTGATTACAATCTCTATTTACAAATAGTAAACTGAAGCACAAACAGGTTAAATGACTGCCCAAAGTCATAGAGTAAGTGACAGAGTGACAACTTGGACCCAAGCCAAATGGCTCCATGAGCCACACCTTAACCACCTCCCTGTGCTACATTTTGTTTTCTCTAGGTTCTTCATACCTTTTACTCCCTTTGCATTTAGATGACTCCTCTTTCTCTCTCTCTCTCTCTCTCTCTCTCTCTCTCTCTCTCTCTCTCTCTCCTTCCTTCCTTCCTTTCTTCTTTGATACTCAGGGGCACTTGACCACTGAGCCATACCCTCAGCCCTATTTTGTATTTTATTTAGAGACAGGGTTTCACTGAATTACTTAGTAGCTTGCTGCTGCTAAGGCTGGCTTTGAACTCATGATCCTCCTGCCTCAGCCTCCCTAGCTATTGGGATTACAGGCGTGTACCACTGAAACCGACCTAGATGACTCGACTTTCTACTTCACAGGAAAAATTAAACCAAAGTCATCAGATAGGAGCTCTATTGCCATTAAATCTCTAAAACCCTCTGTAATCTGTGCTTACTCGTCATGTTCTTCCTCCTATTACAGGGAAAGTACTTCTAAGCATTGGTTTTGTATTTTACCAGCACCCCATGAAAAGTGAAAATGCAGCAAACTTGTTCATAAATTCTGAAAGCTTTCAATGGCAAGAGTAGTGCAGGTCTCTCAGGAGCCCAGTGCCCTGTGTAACTGCCCTGTTGCACACGTTTGGAGCTGGCTCTGCTCCTGCTCCTCCTACCCAGGCCTAATAACTTCATGATCCCAAACCCTTTTGCCTCATCTAGAAGTGGACTAGTGATCATCCCCTGCTTCCACCCTTTCAACCCTGCACCACTACATGTCATCTGTCTTTCCCCTTCTCTGGCTCCTTCATTTCTTCAAATCACTGCCATCGAAAACTAACAAAGACGTCTTTTCAATTTCAATTATTGAACATACCTTGTTCCCTGCCATCCTTCAAAATGTACACTCTTTTGTTCTTCCATTTGAAAATAACACTAAATCTTTATTAGTCCCTGCAAATTGCTCCTGCCAATCGGTGGCATCTTTGAAGATAAAGTTGATGGACTCTATTCAGAACTTCAACTTTCATGCATCAAATATTTATTAAGCACATACTGTATGTGAAGCATAAATTCTGCTCTCAGAGAACTTCAGGTGAATGATATGGACAATAAGCAAAATCAGTAAAATGTATGTTATGTGAGAAATTAAATGGCAGTAAGGATATTGAAGCAAAGGTAGGAAATAGGAGTTTTCAAGAAATGTTGGAGCTGGAGGTTGCAGTTTTACATAGGATTAGCTGGGAATGCTTCACTGGGAAGAGAGATTTGAGTAGAATTGAGAAGTTATGACAGCAGGAAGAAGAACATTTCAAGCAAAGACAATAGTGATGCCCAAGGCAGCAATGTGTAGAAAGGAACTGCCTAGTGGGACATTGTGAAGAATAAAAATCAGAAGATGGAATCCAAGAGGTAGCAGGAAGCTATATGTTATAGGCAGCTTTATGGTCCAATTTCAATAGTATTTGCTGAAGGATGAAATATAAAATGTGAGACAAAGAGTGGAGAGAAGGATGATTCCAGTATTTTTTATTTCATCAACTGGAATTATAAAATTACCACTCACTGAGAAGAGGAAGATGGAGGAAAAATAGCTTTTAGGAAGAATATCTGGAGTTTGCTCTTATACCCATTAAGTTTGAGTCTGTATTAGATATGTAAACACTGATGACAACTAGACAGCTATATGAGACCATGAAGTTGAAGAGAGCTCCAGGCTAGAGGCACAAATCTGAATTATTGGAAAGATGACCATTATTCCCAAGAAACTGGATATTACAAGTGTTAGAGAAATGGTAGAGAAGATGTCCAAAGACTGAGTTCTGGTACCCTCCAACCCATTAAGAGACAGAGGTGATGAGAAAGGAGAAGCCAAGGAGAGGCAGCCAGTGAGACAGAGAGAAAACCAGGAGGGCAAAGTGTTCTGAAAGCTAAGGGAAGAAAAATGGTTCAGGGAAGAAGCAATAATCATGATATACCTGCTAAAAGATATGCAAGATGCAAAGGAAGAGTGGACCACTGATTTTAGCAGAGACAATGTCGTTCATGAGCTTGAAATAGCAGTTGGGTGGTTAATACAATTAAGCCTAATTGTATTAGGCTTAGAGAAAGAATTGGGCGAAGAACATCGGGAGACACAAAAGCAGACAGCCTTTCAAAGAATTTTACTATAAACAAAACCAGAAATGGGATAATAGTTGCAAAAAGAATCAGGATCAAGAGAGAGTCCGAGTCTTAGCTGTCACACTCACTTGCCTTTTGAAAAAAAAAAATGGCTGGTGCTTAATAAGTGTTCATTGAAAGAACTCCCTCAGGAAAACAGACTTGACAGGAAATGGTACTCTAGGCCCATATGAAATATAAATTGTCAGATTATTCCTAGAATGATTTAAGCAACATTTGCTATCTCTGGTTCTGAGCAAACTACTTAGAAAGCATTATGACTTTCTAAGAAGAAATGTCAGTTCTGTTAATATTCTTGTTCCAGAGAATACTGACTATTCTCTAAGTCAAATAAGTAAATTATACTCTTGTTCATAAAGAATATTATTTTTATCTAATTTGAGTGATAGTGATATGAAGGCCCCTGAAGAAGTTCTCCTTCTGTGAAATGAACTAGAAACTCATGATACTGGTTAGATGCGGACTAGCAGGATAGTTGACAATCTAGTATCTTGTTCAGGTTGTCAGCTAAAAATACGAAACATGGTTCCAAATTCCTTCTTTACCAGTCTCACTTTTTGCATTGAATTATGAAAGCACATGCTTAGAAGTATATTCAAAGATGACTGGAGATAAAACAAAATACCAAACTACTCAAAGAGGCTATAATTGTTCTTAACTGTGTATTTGATGTTAATGAAAGAAAAAGAGTAGTCAAACAAAATAGTTGTTTTGCATATAATATTATGCACTTCCAAGGATAGTTACTGTTATTGTTCTGTAGTCGTGAAATGCTTTTAACATATTTCTTCAACATAATTTCTCTAAGTCTTAAACATCAAACTCTCCATTTAAACTTGTTCCACTCATTTCAAATGTGAATAAACTTATTGAACACTTGTTTCTCATTCTCATGCTCCTAATGAATAATAACTTTGGGAAAAGTAAGAAAATCTTGCCTCCTAAATTATCTGGGTTGATTCTATTCTCCAGAATCCTAGCTCTGAAAACAAACAAAAAAAATTATATTTATGTAAGTGGTAACCTGTATAATTTTATATAAAAATTATTTACTGAATCCAATGATGTATCTTTTAGGTACTTGAACTATTTACTGAGTTATGCTTTTAATAAAATAGGTTAAGATAAATCAGAATTATCCACTTTTTTTCTATTTTTATCCCTGTTTTTTACTCTTCTTTGTGTCAATTGCTTTTACCACCCCTTGTTAGATCATGACCTGTAGTGCAATGCTTTCAGAGTACCTCACAGAACAATAATTCTGTAAGATGCTTCTTCAAAGATGGTCAAGGAAATGAGGCAAAGAGGCTGCTTGTCCCATCCTTACTGTGTTATAGGCACAAGTGCATGTTAAAATCTCTGCAGTGAAAACTCATAAAAATCCTTGTTTTTATTTATTCTGAGAAGGGTAAAACACCAATCATGGCTAAGCCAGCAATTCCAAATTTATTTGACCACAGCATAATTTTTGTATGTGATATATTAACATCCAAGAGAATTTCCATGAGAAAAGTTGATACAATAGGAAAGGCGATGGCCTTAGAAACAGAGTTTCTACCGTCACCTAATTGTGAGTTTGGGCAAGCCACTGAACTTGCTTGAAGGGTTAATCAATAGAGAAATGGATAAATAAAATGTGGTGTATATACACAATGGAGTTCTACTCAGTCACAAAGAAGAATGAAATCATATCATTTGCTGGTAAATGGATGCAAATGGAAAACAAGCATCATGCTGAGTAAAATAAGACAGACTCAGGAAATCCAGGGTTGAGTGTTTTCTCTCATCTCTAGAAACTATAGAGAAAAACAGAATTTAAAAAGGGGCAGGGAAGATCTCATAAAAACACAAGGGAGGCCAGTAGAGTTGAGGTAGCAATCAAGGTGAAGGGAGGAAGAGAGGAAAAGGGAAAGAACAGGAATAAAATTGACCAAATTGTGCTATATGCATGTATGAATATGTCACAATGAACTCCACTTTTATGTGTAATTGCAATTCACCAATTATATATATATATAATTATATATGTGTAATATATTATATATAAATATATGATATAATATATATTATATATAATGTGTAATATATTATATATATATAAATGTGTAATATATTATATATATGGATATATGGAAACAAGAATATAGAAAGGGGAACAGGAGGAAGGGGATGGAGGAGAGGAGGCAAAGGAAATTACTGGGGAATTAATTGGAGCAAATATGAATATGTATAATTATAATGCACTAATAAAAGCATAAAAGGGAGGACTTTCTAAGCTTCCTTCTCCTTTTTACTTTATTTTTCCATATGTATTGAAAGATAATGTACTCCCATGAAAGATAATCTATTCCTTTGGGTAATTTCATTTGCACACTCTCCTCTATTGTATAAAATATATTTTGACAATTACATGGTCAAGCACTCAAAAATATACATATCTTAAATGGTTTTCTCTGGACTTCATATCCAATTGCTTACTCAATATGGCCATTTAGAATTGTCATAGGCATCTCCACCACATCCAATTCATTAGCAAGTCTGCCTATAAAACCTATTCCTAACCCACCCACCTCTCTCCATCATTACTATCTATTTTGAGCCATCATCTCTAATTGGACTATACAACAATATCTCCTTGAGTAAAGATTAGCAAAAATGCTTTCTCCTACTCTAAGGGCAAACTTGACTCGGGATTAATTTTCTAGCTCTGTTACCCAGGAAACCATACTAAGGTACAATGTCAGCCTGGTTCTAAACTTATGATAAATATGACTCAAATGGTAAAATACATCTGTATTAAGAAAATCTAGATATGAACTCTAGGTGCCTCATAGGAAACCATAGCACTGGGCTTCCCTGTGGACAGTGACTCTCATAAATGAGCATGTCTTTAGCTGGGAAGTAGAGAGCAGTGTTCAAGGACTTGTTGGAGTATTAGCTCATGGGAGACTCAGCTTCTAGCCCATTGCTCCTATTGACCATGTCTCTTTGCAGCTGAGTTTTCACTTCATGAGGAGGAGACACAAGAGATGAATTCCCAGGTCTGCCATATGAATTCCTATAAGGGCTTCCGAATTAGAAGATTACATGATACTTCCCTGCTTGCCTGCTGAAGCTTCTTTACCGGGACACCTCTGAGTAGAATGGTGCCAATGTGTTCTTGCAAGTCTAAATGTTTAATTTGGCCTGAAAAGATTTCCTAATGAGGATTGCTTCACTGATCCCACTATTTCAATTATTGCTTCCCTACAATCCATTTTCCACATAACAGAGTAAATATTTTAAAACACCAAATGAGATTTCACTCCCCCATTTGAAATCCTCCCACTCAAAAATGAAAGTTTATTTCTTTACCCAAATTTCTAAAATCCCACAAGATCTACCCCTGGCTAATCTCTCCAAAGTCATCCTGTAGAACCTTTCCCATCATGTGCTTCCCTCAAGCCATGGTTGACCAGTTCTTATTTTTTGACAACATTCATTTGGTTCCACCCTATGAGCATTTTACCAGCTGCTCCTTCTGCAGAGTGTACCTCTTACCTCCTGTCTTCTGGTGGCAGGATTATTCAGTTATTCAAAATATAGAGTTGTTCTTCAGACTTTAGAGAGGGTTTCCCTAATTTCTCAATCTAAAACAGTCACCCAGTAACTGTACCACACCATCCTAATTTAGTTCTTTGACTCTTAATTTATATATTTCTTTATTCATAATCTAAGTCTCCTGTTGCAATATAAGATGTAAGACAGCAGGAGTTTATGACTGCCTTACTCACTTCTATATCTCCAGCTCTTAGAATGTCTAGCATGTAGTAGGTACTAAGATGAATGATGGATCAAATAAATAGTAAGAGTGGAGGTAAGAAAAGGCATTTTGAGACTTTCTAGTTTTCTGGGATGCCACCCTCTGTCACTTCGTGCTGATTTGTTATAAGGCATCATTGTCCTCCTGTGAGGTTTACCAAGTTGTAAGAGGTAGATTACTATAGATAATGAGGAACCCAGGGCCTCATGCATGCCAAGCAAGTGCTCTAGCATTAAGTTCATCCCCAGTTCTACTCTTTATCCACACATTTAAGTGAAGGGCTTCTTCTAATACTTTTATTGAAAATACATGTTATAGTTTAGATATTAGGTATCCCCCAAAAGCTCATTTGTGAGAAAATACAAGAAGGTTTAGAGGTGAAATGATTGGGTTCTGAGAGCCTGAACCCCAACAGTCAATTAATTCCCTGGCAGGGATTAACTGAGTGGTAACTATGGGCAGGTAGGGTATGAATGGAGGAGATGTGTGGATGGAGTTGTACTGGGGTTTATACTTTGTCCATGAAGGGAGGTGTGCTCTCACTCTCTCCTTCCTGGTGTCATGTCCCCAGATGCTTTCCTCTACTACACTCTTCTGCCATGATGTTCTGCCTCATCTCAAGCCCCCTTTCTATGGACTAAGACCTCTGAAACTGTGAGCCCCTAAATAAACTTTTCTTCCTTAAAATTGCTTTTGTCGGGTCTTTTGGTCATAGCAATGAAAAAGCTGACTAAAACAATATCCTTATTTTTATTTTCAAAAGCCTAAACTCAGGAAGCGATAGGAACTGTATGCAAATAATAAGGAAAAAGATCCCAGATTTTCCTTCTTTGCTTTGATAGCTCACTGTTTTCTTAACTTGTTCTACTAGTTGAAAAATGATCAGTTTTTATCCAAAGATTCGCCTTAAAAATTTCATCTGGAATTAATAATAAACTTCTTCAGTAGAAGGAGTGGAAGGATTGTAGAATATTACAATGAAGCAGAAGCTTCCAGAATGATTGGCTAAGGAATGGGAGAAAGAAAATTATTTCATTTCTGAGTGCTTCTCAATCAATTTTGTATGTTCCTTAAAGGGAATATCATTTTTGTTCAACTCTATTTCTATTAGATCTGTGTATGATCACATACATTCAATAAAGAAATAGAATATTATTTTCCCATATATACTATTAAATGAAAAGATGAAATTTTTGTCTTCTTTCAGAAAGCCAGAAAAATCTACTTAGCTTTAAACAAGACCTGAGAGGTTTTAGAAAACAAAAACAAACAAACAAAAAACAAAACAAAACAAAAGCCAGGAGTACTGCTGATTTTGCAAGGATTACGAGCACTACCTTCTTTCATGGAGAGGGCCTCCAGTTTGAGGGGCAAATCAGAGGTTCCGCCAGTGGCAGCTGAACTCTGGATGTCTGGTAAGGCATTGCGGCGGCCTGTCCTCGCTGAAGATGCAAAATTGGTGACCACAGACTCCACATCAGTCATTTTTGATGAATCTGTCCTCATAGCAACATCTACAAATAGAATAAACACAACAAGAAGAAGATGAGCCTGTTCAGAGAGCAATGTTCACCACAGTGGTCCAAAGGCATGGCTAGATCAAAAACAAAATGAGCCAGCAGATCTAAGCACCACTTACACCCTCAGCTATGGCTACCACTTTGGTCCTGGAGCTTCCATTTGCTGAATAGAGCAGGAAGTCCTCTGCAGGAGCCAGATTACTATAAATAACTCCTGAGCTGAATGAGCCACTTGGAACATTAGGGTGCAGTAGGCCCTGCCTTTTGTTCTGCTTTTCTATGGATGGATCAGCCAAACCAGGGCTTGGAAGGAAATGAAACTGATTTGTTTGGCTGCTCTCAGAGAGACTTTGCCTGCCAGTATTTACTTGTGGTGCTTGTTTAGGCTGAAACCAAATCACTATAATTGTGGGAGTAAACAAAACAGGCTCTTTTCTTACTCTTTGAAAATAAGAAATTCTACTTTCTCTCAAAAGGCTCTTTCTCACAGAGAGCTGTGTACTTCCATCTGTTCTGGCCTTGAAGCCAGTTTTCAATAGATTCATGTTTATGTTAGAGAGAGTTAGGACCTCTTTTACTCTGTCTTGCCCTCAAGTGGACATGGTAATTGCTAGTACTTTTCTCAACATCCATTATTTTCCTGGGAATTGTCCCCAAGAAAGAATTCTCAAGAGATCAACATGAGTACAAGGAGGGAGGGAGGTGTTATGGCACATTCAAAACTGATCCTCTTTCACATGTTTTTCCTCAAAAAAAGTTTTCCTAAAAAGTTAACTTGGAATAGTATTTCAAAAGCAAAAGCATTTTTAAAGAAATTATCATATGTTATATTTTTAGCCAGGCACTGAGAGCACAGAGGTATGATATACTATCCATCTCTAGGTTCATTTGCACTCTTAAAGGGGAAAAAGAAGGCATGTGTGGGAGGAAAGGTTACATCTGTTCACAAAACGGCCTAAGGATCAAGAAAGGATGGAGTTCAGCATTTGTGGAACTTAGGAATATGTGATTCCTAGCCTACACAAAGGAAACCAATCTTTTCACAGTAGTTGGAAGGGAGTCCTTTCCAAATAGCTACCTTCAGAAAATGCTAGAAACAAAGTGATGTAGTGATAAAAACATGATGCATTTGATCCAAAGCACCTAAAAAAATGTATACTGAGCTTAGCATTGTCCTCAAGAAGCCAGGAATATCCTGAAAATGACCAAGAAAAGAGGCAGTCCATTACTACTCTAGATGTTGTCTTCTTTTTCCAAGTATCATTCAGACACAATCTCAGAATCCATTAGATTTTGAATTGTTTGATACTTGCCAACTGTCCAGCATGAACAAATAGATTGGAGTAATGTAAAGAGCACTGGGCGGTTAGTCAAAAAGAATTCACTCCATTATACACTTGTAAGGTAACAGTGGTCAGGCCATTTAATTTATACAAGTCACACTTTTTTTCCCCTATATATATTAGGCATAACAATTAGCCTTTATGGCTCTTTGGATTCTGCTAAAAAACAGATGAGATAAGATAATATGAACTCTTTGTAACTATAAAAATGTTTAACGTGTTTGATTTTTGACATGATTATTTACATTTTACTACATTCTTTTTATTCTGTAACCCTTCTTTTTTGGGGAGTACCAAGGATTGAACTCAGGGGAACCACTTGACCACCAAGTCACATCTCCAGCCCTATTTTGTATTTTATTTAGAGACAGGGTCTCACTGATTTGCTTAGCACTTCAATTTTGCTGAGGTGGGCTTTGAACTCACAATTATCCTGCCTGAGCCTCCTGAGCTGCTAGGATTACAGGTGTATTGTGCAATCCTTTTATGGATGCTATTTAATCTTAACAATAAGAATCTTCCTACTAGAGACCTTGAGTTATTTTAAGAGGGAAACCAGCATTTTTTTCAATACTGCATGAACACTTATATTATCTATTATCTGATTTAAACCTCCCAATAATTCTATGAAGTATAAAATATGACCCTCACTTTGTAGCTGTAAAAACTAGGGCTCAGAGAGGTTAAATGGTTCACTTAAAGTTGCATAGCTGCTTATCTGGCATTAATGGCTACAAATCCAGTTTCAATTCACTCTGAAAGAAAAATAACATGGATTATCAAGAAATGATCTTCCAAATCCCTGTGATATATGCAACTAGTCATATGTACAGCTCCTTTAGTATTGTGCTTTTCATTGACTTTTATAGGAAAAAGTTGTTGTTGTTGTTGTTGTTTGTTTTGTGTGTGTGTGTGTGTTTAATTACGGGGGATATGGAGAGAAAGAGAGATAAGTTTCTAAATTACTACCATTTCACATGTTCTTCTCTATCTTATTAACTTGTGAGCCCCTGTAGCCATGATACTTGAATTTTAATTAAGATTTCTTCTCTATGGCTTCCGACAAATGACTGACAGTGGTTTGGAAGCAGACTCCATATTTAGGCTCCACTCTGTCCTCAGTTAACACCACATGGTACATTATAGCCTTGAGCAAGTGTTTATATATGTGAAGAATCTCCCTGTGTAACTCCAAACAAGTTAACCATGATAAGCCTGGAAAAGCAGTGTGATAACTCAAAGTCCAAAATCTTAAAACTGAAGACAGCAATGTAACAGTGGTCCACTTTATGCTTTGAATATAACCGTTGCTGCTCTGCCACTGCAATTTATTTTTACCTTTCTTCTTCATCCTAGGCAGAGGTATCTGTCCCTGAGTACACACCCACCATAGTAATCTGAAGTAATCCAGACTTTGGGGATGGCACCGGAAGATCTCAGAATTGACTATCTCCCAAATGAGCAAGTGAATACAACTCCAACAGAGAACACATGGACTGTTGCCTTTGAGTCACCTCTTTAAAAGCCCCCTGTTCCTGCTGATGGACACAATCACAACCCCTGGGACTGAAGTCCCCTATGTTTCTCCTTTGCTAGCAAAGCAATAAACCTTCTTTTTACTTTTTTCTCAAAACTGTGTTTTTGGTATTCGATTGGTACCAGGGACAAGGATAGAGCTTTACCAATAGCAACAGATATAAAAAAAATTAAGATGTACTATTTTAAATATTTAAATGCTGTATATATGAAATAAAAAAGTCAATTCCTTGAGCAAGATACAAGTTAAAGGAATATAATCTTATATTGAAAAAGAGCTTCTAATTCTCTTTGTATTTTGTACATTGGATATACAAATTTTTTGTATAGTGTAATTCTTAACTGGGATATTTAAATTTCTTGATAAGAAGGTTTATTAAAGCATTGAAAATAATGTGAAAGTTCAATAGGAAAAGAATGTGAATGAACTACATATACTGTGCTATAGAATTTTATACAGCCAAGTTAAAAAAAAAATGTGTTAGATCTACCTATGGAGTTGTGTCCATGACACACTGTGAAATAAAACAAATTTATAAAGAAATGTTTACAGTGCAAGGAAAAAATGAGAAAAGAAATTAATGTAATGTGATCTCAATTTTGTTTAAAGAATAAAAGTCCTATTTGTGAATGATAAATAAAACAAGGAGAATATGAATGAATTTCTTGTACCTTTTATGCATTTTGACTTATAATCATGAACACATCTTTTGTAATATAAAAATATTTAAGATATTCACTGGTAAAAAATGTGAGTAAACAGAAAATCTAGTACAGTAAGGCTCTAACAAAATATTTTGACAGTTTAAGCCAACAACAGCACTTCTATAGGTGAAAGTCTCTCCCTCCCTTCAATAGCCATCTTACTTGTGTGCTGTTATTTTCCTATACAAAACTTGTTGTGAATGCTTTCAGTTTTATAAAGGTGATGCAAATATAGAGACTATTTTTTTTTCCAATGTTTTGTGACATTTGAAACCTATAACCCATAGAAGTACAAGGGAACACTATTAAGAAAATTGAAGAGAGAGTAATTTCCAGGCTCTTTTAATTTTCTGGGCTGAAAAAGGTAATCATGTATATGCTTGCTAATGAAGGCAGCTGACTCACTAGCAACACTTCCTCTTTTCTTTCACAAGATTAGCAGAGGAATCTGGATGAATTCTGTTTTGTCAAGGGTGGCTGCTCATGGGAGCTGGAACAATTGGACACTTGGGGATTTCACAGAAGTCCTGTCATTCCCACAGCAAGGTAATGTAATCTACATTGCCTAGGACACACTCCATCTGCATTAAAAACACAGGTTTCAGGATGCCTTAACAAAAGACCATTACATAGCCATTACTACGCATATGCCAACCTCTTTGCAGTCCCTGAAACATGTTAAATGCAGCACCAGCACAGGTGAAGAGGACAAGAATGTTCAAGCTCAACAAAGTACTGGAGATACACATATCCATGTAGTCGGATATGGATAAGGATATCAGATCACTAGTCAGCTCCCAGTGGGCTCAAGAAAAGAGTGTGTCAGTATGTTGCAAGCATAGCTATAACAAAGGGAAGTTTTTGCAGTCTCCCAATTGAGGCAACCCATTTCCATAGCTCATATACATGCTTTCCTCTAATGTCCTTACTTGAAGCCAAGACTGCAAAGAGGCAAGCCTGCAAGGACATGACTACCTTCATTTCTCATCTCATCTCCCACAGTGAAATCACTAACTGTAGTAAGACTTCAAATAAACTTCTTACCTACTAAATTTGTCTCTAGCAGGCTATTTGAAAAAAGAAAAAAAACTTAGAATAACAAAAAGAAAAAAAAAAGGAAGAAACATGTATTTGTGGAAAGTCAGTGCTTTTCTTGGTCAAAGACAGAGAAAGATAGGCAGACAGTGGTCTCAGATGATAACTAGAGGACTGATGGTATAGCTTAGTGGTAAAACCCAGGCTTAGCATGTGCAAGGCTCTGCGTTCAATCCATTCAATCCACAGGGTCAAAAAAAAAAGAGAGGGGGAGAAAGGAGGGAGGGAGGGAGGGAATGAAGGAGAGAGAGGGACGGAAGGAGAGAAGAAAATCAGATGCCTATCTGTAGCTCTTCAGCTCTTAATATCTTAACA